AACCAGTAAGGAAACAGCATGCTGAATTATTGTGGGGAAACCAGGCTGGTCATAGAACCAGTAAGGAAACAGCATGCTGAATTATTGTGGGGAAACCAGGCTGGTCACAGAACCAGTAAGGAGACAGCATGCTGAATTATTGTGGGGTAACCAGGCTGGTCACAGAACCAGTAAGGAAACAGCATGCTGAATTATTGTGGGGAAACCAGGCTGGTCACAGAACCAGTAAGGAGACAGCATGCTGAATTATTGTGGGGTAACCAGGCTGGTCATAGAACCAGTAAGGAAACAGCATGCTGAATTATTGTGGGGAAACCAGGCTGGTCACAGAACCAGTAAGGAGACAGCATGCTGAATTATTGTGGGGAAACCAGGCTGGTCACAGAACCAGTAAGGAGACAACATGTTGAAATGTTGCGGGGAACCAGGCTGGTCATAGAACCAGTAAGGAACCAGGCTATTGATTACATACTCAAAGTAAACTAAATGTTAAAAACAGGTGTACATTAAATTATATTTACTTACTTCTGTTAAGTTTTAAAATTACTTCGGAACAATACAGAAATATATTTGCCAACACTGTTGGTTTAATTAGAAAGGAGCCAAGTTTTGCAATGATTTTCCACAACTAATAAATTATAACACACACGCATTCTTACCTGGACCAAAGATAGCAGAAGCTCCAGCCTGATAAAGGAAGTCGTAGTCTTGAGGAGGGATGACACCACCAATAACAATAATGATATCACTAGAAACAAGATGATCAAATTATGAACTGCAGCAACAACAACCAATATAAATAATGCGTGTGAGTGATTATACTGTTGTGTTGGTGAATGTTTTCTAAACAAAACTTGGTACTAAAGAACTATGTATTATCATAAAAGAACTGACTTATAGTGAGATGATTAAATTTGTCAAAACAAACATATCACAAGTATGTGATAAATCATTCAATAACCATCATTCACAACAGTCTCACCACATCGCTACCACCAGTTGTGCTGTATCTCACAACTGTGAATCTATACAATACCCCTGCAACAGACTGTTGTAAGGCTGTCATGTTCAAAGCACATCATTTCTCCATGCTAGCTTTCCATAATCCATCTAGTGTATGAGGACAACTGTTCCCCAGCATCCTACTTGCAACAGTCAAACTGCAAAGAAATGCATAAGTGCTGCCTCTGGTGACATGATTGATTTGTCTTTGAATGGAATAGCATGAAAACCGGTTTCATTTCTCCAGCTGCTTAACACAACCGTGAAATAAGTAATTTCTCTAATTATGCAACAGGTGTAAAGCCTCATTATGAACTCTGTCTAAGATAATACTAATTTTATGTTATGTTTTATCACAGAATGACTGCACTGACAGCTTTCTTTTGAGTGCACTATCAGTTGTACATGAGGTCCTGTCTTTACCCATTTAAACTTTGGCTGTCATGTGCCGCTGGTGGTTCACACTATGATTTAAATAATAATGATCAAATTATAATATTTCACAAATAAAGGGACATCAGATAGAATAATTCAACAAGGATTGTGATGGGAAGTGTTTCAATGACAAACATGAATTAGAATAAATTAAAATATTCATTGTCTATTCTCTTTTTTTTTTCTTCAAATTTTCATAAAATGCTTTTTTGCTCCACTTACTCTCTATGAAAATTTTATCTTTATCATATTACAGTTTTCACAACATTTTTATCTGTGAAAAAAGTCTCGCTTAATGTTTTTTTTTTTTGCTTTAATTACTCACGATGAAAAATTTAATGCCAGTCTCTTGATGTAATTTTAAAATAAAAAGTGATTTAATCATGTAACTTTGTTATATTCCAGTTGTCCTTTCAACAAGGCATCCGTACCGGTGGTACATGATGGAAGGCGTGGCTTTATTATAGCCGTCCGTACGAAATAAATGCTTTAATATAGGGTGGCTCACGATGTAGTGAACATGTTAAGGTATGAATGGAACCTCAATACACACAACTTCTGTTGCTTTTTGAGATGGAGATCCTTTTTGCTTATGTTGTGTCCTCTTGCATGGGACAAGTGGACAGCTTTTACTTCTGACCTTTGTGTCCGTGGATTCTCATCTGTTACAAGATGTCTTACTTTGCTTACTGTGGCATGACTTGTTGCAGGTATCTTTCTGGATGGTCTAGTTTTCCAATGCTGTTAAGTGCAAGGAATGTTCTTGTCTTGGAAATACTGCATTCCTAATCTTAAGTACTTATGATCCCAGTGTATGAATATCTTGCATCAGAAAGGTCTGTTACATGCCCTTCCCAAAAGTAACCAATGTTTGATGCCATCACACTACTTACTAAAATCTAAACATTATCAACATGTTGTTCTGATACATGCATTTCCACCGGGACTGACTTGTGACTTGCTA